GGAAGAATGAAGAGAAGGAAGGAAATAGGAAAGTGAAGAGAGGATAAGAGAGGAGAAAAGAGAGAAGGAGAGATATCACCAGGACATCTGATGTTTTTCAAAGGCATTTCTCTGGTACATGCCTTCTCATACAATTCTTCATCTCTTGCATATCACGTCCTGATAATGACATTTATTAAGGTCATCAGTTGAATATTCTATTGACTAGGTCACAAATTTCATGATTCAATCACTTCCCAGTGACTGGGCATGAACCAAGAACTTAGTGAGAACCAAGCCCTTAATACACAAATCTCTTGGAAGACAGTTTATACATAAGCCACAACTACTAAATGTAATAAAGTATGGCACTTAGTACTCTAATTTGATTGGAAGACATGAGTATCAGGATTAATATCTAAAATGAATTATATAATAAATGAAAATGACTACATACCTCTATAATAACAATGTGAACTTTGACAATTTTCTGAATGGAAATCACCATTTGTAATAGACACCTGAAACACCTGGGTCTGTTCACCCAATATGTAGGTATCAATGAAGCACAGGTCTGTCTGGATTTTTCTTTCCTACTTTCTTGGTCCTTAGACAAAACTGGCCAGAGTTCTTCGGATGATCTTTGAACATGGCCATAAATACAGAATGAATAGAAGATGATCTTCTTCAGTGCTTATATTTCTATCTGTGTTTTTGTATTGTTCAGTTTTGATTGTGTAGTTATGGAAACAGGCAGGTGACAGTGGTAGAAACAGGCATACTGTAAGGCACAATTGCCCATACCTAAGATGTCAACAGAATCTCAGGTCATGTACTGGGTAGGAAGATAGTATCTGTAATCTTTGAATATCCTAACTGCATGTGATTTATTGATTTCTCTATTCTTTAATAACAAATGACCATTAATTTAACAGTTCATCAATCCTCATGCCTGTTTCCTACATGACAAGAAAAGCTGTGGCAAGGTTCTCTGCTCATGTTTTTCCAAATTCTAAAGTGTGAGGTTGTCAAGAATGCTCTGAATGTGTGTGTATGTATGGCATTGATTTCTTCCCAATTGCAGGTGATGACTCAGTTTCCATCCCCTGTGATTAAGTTCTAGTATCCTTTACTCTCTGCTTCTCATTTGTGGATGTTTTGTGAGCAGCTGCTTCAAGCTCTTTCCACTCTGCCTTTTGCATTAAAATAGTTGTATGTTAGACTGTGTTCCCAAACACTCTGTGGTTGCAAGCAAGGGATAAAGATTCTTCAATTATCTTTTATGGGCGTTTTATCACAATAACAAAGAGAGACAAGGACATATACTTATGAGCCTAGAAGTGATGTCATCACTGATGTGGTTTTTCCCTAGATGGAGTCTGACTCTCTAGTCAACATGGAGCAGAAAATTGGATTCTGCAAAACCATGATAACACTACAGAACCCTAAACTAAGAGAAGAAAAGAACAATATTAAATGCAAATGATGATTGCTTTCATGATTTTATTTTCTTTTACTAGATTCAAATGAAGTCATTTTCATGTTTAACAATTTCATTGCCATGTCAGTTTCAATGAACAGACTTTACAAGGTAAAAGGATCCTTTAGAAGCGATTTACAAATCCTCGTCTTTCTACTGTCCTCCTCTTCCTGAATCGTAGCTTTCAACAATGCACATTTCTTTAAATGTTCATGGTTCTTCCTCATTATCATTATGTCTATTTACTCAGAAGGTTTTTGTGGGAGAGATGTCTCATTGGGTAAGAGAACTCACAGGCTGTTCTTTCAGAGGATCTAAGTTTAATTCCCAGTACCTACAGGGTGACATCTTAGAATAACCTATAATTCCATTTCCAGAGGCTCTGAATTCCTCTTTTGGGTTCTCTATGCACCAAGCTAACCTGTCATACACAGAAATGCATGCAATCAAAAAGACACACAAATTAAAAAAGAATAAAGGGGGCACTAGTATCATCTCCATTTCTCTACTAGTTTGCCATCCATGACTGTTGAGACTGAAGGGTCACTAATGGGTTTATCTTAACAAGTTTTAAAGAGCCCTCAGCTATGACTGGGTGCTTTGAATTCTTCAACCTCCTTCTCTAACACATATTCAGAGAATCTCTTCCTGAGAGGTCCTTCTAAGAATTGCAGAATGTATGGGTCTCCTTAAGCAGGGCAGATTTTGTTCATGGTAGTTACTCTGTATAAAGATATCCTAAACCTCAAATGAAGTAATAAATTTCCACATATTCAGGAATCACCTTCCTGTTATTTATCCCTGATCTACTGCCACAGAAACAGTCAGGGACACCAGCTGGAAGCCTCATAGATTAAGATCAGTGGAGACTGGACTTGTTCATGTAGAAGCCAAGTAAAATAGCTGTTCCCATCACCGTATAAGGAAGGGGTTGTGACTAGAGCTGAGGAAATAGAGACTTGCTCTCCAAAAATTGACTGAGAGAGTGTAATTGGGTCATCTCAGTATCTCCAGTGAATCTTAAATAAATGGGAAAGAAATTCACTTGGGAAAGAAATTCAAGGTCATATGCAATATGATAATTTATTTCATAAATAATAATTTACTGTGGCATATGAACTAAAAATATTCAATTTTTAAAAGGACCAAGATTTGTAAACCATGTTCTAGGATTTGCACATAACATCTCACTCATTTTATGTGAAGATCTTCATCTGGGCACAGGTTCTTCTTGTCAAATCTCTCAAGATCACAGGTCTAAATCCCATAGGCCCTGAATTCAGCACTGATCATTTGACTATGAATGTAATTTAGAAAAACTCCTGTGGCAGAAAAAGGGCAGAGGTGCATCCATTCAGTTTAGGATAAAAGGTTCAGCACCATCCTGGCAGTGAGTTCAGTGAGGAAGGTGACAGCTGTATAGATCTCTGAGTGTTTCATAACATTGACACATTTGTATTTCTATTACCAACTAATGAATTTCTGTTGTTTCAGTAGCTCATTGAACAAAAACCTTGTGCCTCAGATCTCCAGGTATAGCATGAGTGGTTTCTCTCATGGTTGGTCTGAGGAAACCTAAATGAGGTTCTCTTTATTCCAAGTCTAGCATCAGAGATACTCCTTATGAGTATTCCAATTTTCGTCAGCCCTTCCCACATACCTCTCTTGATCTCTTTAAACCTCATGACATCTTTTAATTGCTGTAACATATTTGCTCATATATATATATATATATATATATATATATATATATATATTCCTAAATATATAAATATAGCCTAATATAACTATATAATATGACTTGGATGTATACAGTTTCAGGGTTAGCCATTTGGTATTGGATAACCAGTTAGTGTTCTTTTTCCTAGGGAAGGCTGTTTCTTCTAATCTCAGCTTTCTTCAGTTACCTGTAGTTCTATGTCTAGGGTTGATTCCTCCTAATCTTTCTCCCTTTCACATTATTCTCTATTGGTGTCATTCTTGTTTGGTTCATTTTTAGGCAAAGATGTTGGTGAGTCATGTATGTAGCTTCTGACATTCATAGCAAAAACAGTCTCACAGAAAACTTGCTGTTTTCCTAGTTCATACAATCTTTCCAAAAACCTGTTCCCAAATGATCTCTAGTCCTTAGATGCAAGAGTTGTGTTTAAGGTGTATCAGTTTTCACTAAACTCATCAAGTCTGCCTGCATTTTGATCAATTGTGGTTTTCTGTAATAATCTTCACATGTTTCTAAGACAAGTTTCCTGGATGAGGAGAGAGAACTGTGTTGATCTTTGGATAGAAGGACAAATAAGATGAATGCAGTTGGTAATTATGCTGGCTTACTAACATGATAGATGTAGGTTCTCCTCCAGTACCTATGACTACACTAGCCCCAGGTGGTTGGATAGGTTTCCAATACAAGGCACAATGTTCCTCTTGTTGAACAGACTTAAATTTTGTCAGAGAGCTGTTGGTTACTATCAAAATAATGTGCACAATAATTGAAATTGTAGAGTTACCACACCCTGATGGTCATTGTTGATGCTCATAGAAAACATAGCTGTGTAGGATTATAGGTCCTTTTCCTGCTTTGGAAGCTTATATGATGCCTAAATAGTCCTCAGTGAGGGAACTAGCATACCATATTCAGCTTTTATCCTCTAGATTTTGTGTACAAAGTGCAATAAAGACTTACTTTCTTCTACCTCTGGGTGGCAATCAAGGGCAACAGCAATAGTCTGAAATGTTTTGGTATTCTCTTGACAATTCTGAGCAACAACTCAAAAAAGTGTTTCAAGCCTGATATTTTTCTTTTCTTTTTACATTTTCCTTTTTTGATAGTTTATGGCTTTGGGGATGATGTGCTTGTTCACTAGTTTAGAATAGAATGTCTCACTGGAATTTTCAATTGATTCCTTATACTTTTAACCACTAAGATATTTTAAGGTAATAATTTTATCTTTAATGTTTCCAAGACCAATCTAACATTGGTTAGTGATCACTCTAGTCTCTCAGAGTCATTAGTTCTTTTGAAAGAATCACTTGGATACCTCAGTTGAAACTTCCAGTGACTAGAACAGAAAAAAAAAATGGTATTTCGGTGGCTAGGTATTCCCCATTCTGAATATGTACCAGTCAGACATTTGCTCTCTCCATGTGTTTTCCCTTTTTGTCTTGTTATTTTAAGTTCGTTTATTTGGAATTTGGTGGGGAAAACATGTGGAGAGGGAGAAAAGTAAAAGGGAGGTAGGAAGAGAGAAAGAGGAGAAGGAGAAGGGTAGAGAATACGTAGTTCAGTGGGTAGAGAGGTGGAAAGGATGTGAAAAGAGTTGGCAGAGGGGAAACAAGCTCAAAATATATCTTTTGCATTTTTAAAGGAATGGGGTGAACATTGTACAGGGGAGTCATAAAATCTGTTTGTATGATCTTGAGCTTCCCTGTGAATGGTTTTACCAACCATAGACACTACTGAACAAGAACAAATGTCCCTCTGAGCACACACTTTCCTGAGCTACTTTGCATGTTGTGTGATTAGGCAAGGGTTGGAGATGTTGAAAGCATCCTTAAAGGCAGCTTGTCAGTGTCCTGAGAAGCACAGTCTAGTCTAGCTCTCAGAGATGAAGACAGCTGCTCTCCTCTTCTGTGTTCTGCTCTTCTGGGTCCCTGGTGAGAAGGTGAAGGGTAGTTTTGGGAGCTTCTAATGTAGTCACAGATGTTTTCCTTGTCTCTCAGCTCTAGGTCATTGGCATTTGTAATTTATTTTACCTTTTCCAGGCTTCCTTTCATTTTCTGACAGTTCAGAGTGATGCTTGTGATTTTTGTCATAGTTGTTACATGTCTCACACTGAGAAATGGTACACCTGCAACAATAGTGTTTGTTTGTTTATCATTCCAGGTTCCACCGGGGAAATTGTATTGACCCAGTCTCCTGATATCTTGGCTGTGTCCTTGGGACAAAGTGTTACTATCTCTTGCAAGTCCAGCAAGAGTGTCAATAAATTTGGTATAAATCTAATACACTGGTATCAAAAGAAACCAGGGGAGCCCCTCAAACTCTTGATCTATAATGATGGAATACGACCATCAGGAATTCCTGCCAGGTTCAGTGGTTATGAGGCTTCATTAGACTTCACCCTCACCATCAATACTGTAGAAGCTGATGATGCTGCAACCTATTACTGTCAGCAAGGAATAAACCTTCCTCCCACAGTCCCCTAGGTCTAAGCAAAAACCTTCTGGGTTGCTGCTCCCTGAGGCTCATCATATCAGATGTCTTTCCCCCTGAGACATCTCAACTAGTGGTCTATAAAAGGCTTGTTTGAGAAAGAAGGAAAAATGCAAAATAAAAAAATTCTTATGCTCATGAAAGCATTTTTTCTTTGTATATCTTATAATTAAATATTTTTCTCAATAATGGTATCACTGTTAGAATTCCTCAAACAAGTTTTCCTGGATTTAATAGTTCAATATTTTTAAAATTAAAAAATTATTTTAAACTTAAAGGAAAAATTTACCTGTCATTTAAAATAAAAATATTAAACCTTGTAACTGATCTTAAATACATATACTGGGTAATACTCTTAACCTAAAGCTTATTTGTTTTTGAGACAAGGCCTAACCATGCAGATCATGCTGGCCTAGAACTCATTATGTAGACAGCTTGGCCCTGAAAGCACAGAAATTTCGTTGCCTCTGCTTTTCAGGTGCTAGGATTAAAGGTTTGACACAACTCAATTGTCCATGTTTTGTTTTTACTTCTACTTTATTTAATTGATAACAGCTCTTGTGTTTTGAAAATGTAAAATCTGCTCCCCCTTACTATTAGTGTGCTTTTATTATCTGGGCATAAGCATTAAAAATGTCTGAAGAATATCTAAGATTCATACCATGCTAGTTCCTCCTAGAATTTCTCAAATTGGAGGTTATGAAGGAGGACATGCAAAGTTAAATAGCCCCACATTGTTCCTATTATGGTGAAAACAATTTTTACCTTGATTGATTTATAGTTATTTATTATGTTTCTTTCAGTAACTCTATGTTCAAGGCCCTCTATTTTCTTTAAATGTAGCCGCCAAGAAGCTCCAGTTGACTGTCATTGTCTGTCTAGAATCACTGAGGACATTGTATTGATCTATTCTGTTTCCTTGGCTGTGTCCTTGGGACAAAGGATCACTATCATTTTCTGGCCCCCCAGATGGAAATAATCACATAGAAATTATATTAAATACAACACTGTTTGATTTAGTAGCTCAAGCTCATTATTAGCTAACTCATATCTTAAATTAATCTATTTATATTATTTTATATTTTTATATACTTTATTTTCATGCATGTATATGATACATGTATTTTAGCTGTAACATTGAAGGTACATAATATTCTGGTAGTTTGGGTTGTTTTTAGGCTTCCTAAGTATAAAAAGTGAAGACTGACTCAAATGCCATGATTCTTAACATTTTTGTTGTTGTGTGAGGTCATCCATACGAATGTATTGAAAGTTACCAAGCTACCCTCCCAAATATATGTATATCTTATGTGCACATAACCAGAAGGAGAGAATGAGAGAGAGAGAACAACTAGCTTTCCTGAAGTTCATTTGTGGATTCTAGCAAAAATAAACAAATAAATAAAATCTGCACTAAGTTTAAATCATATTCACCAGGTTTCTGTGTAAAGAGATACTGCAAGGCTTATGCCTTAATGGTCAGGTTCTGGCATTTTCTCCTTCAGAAGCTACATGGCATCTCTCTGGTTCTGTCTTTTTTCCCTCTGCATTCAGTTTAGTTTTCCTGCATACCTATATTCTGCCCTGCCATAGGCCAAACAAGCTTCTTTATTAATCAATGGTAATGAAACATATTCACAGCATACATAGGGGAATCGCACATCAGAGCTCATCATTTCTCGGCTCTTCACTTTACTCACCAGCTTTTATATTCTTTCTGAGTCCTCTTTCATGAAGATCTCTAATTCTTGCATTGGGGTGAGGCTGATATAGATAATCCATCCAGAATAGAGAATTCAGAGCTGTTTTTTTACTGGAAACTTTGGCCACTTATCTATCTTTGTGTTAGCTGCTACTCACTATAAAAAGAAGCTTGAAAACAAACACCAAATTTGAGTGCAGTTTGACAATATGACTGGCAGAACAGCACAGTAGGTTCCCTCCTAGAGCCTGCAACTTCTGAGTTTATGAGATTTTGACTAGATTTATTCTAGTCATAAAATTATTTCTTTGTCTCAGTTCTTACACTCAGTTAGAAACTGGTTGGCTATTATCATAACCATCATGCCATGATTACCCAGGTTGGCATCTCTCAGTGATAGGTCAGTGTTGTATTACTAAAGGTTCAGTGCTGAGTAAGATATTGATATATTTTCTCATCCAGAAGTCTGTAATACTTCTATATTCTTAGACAATTTACACTGTTTTACACTTACATAGAGAGCATTTGTATAGATCATCACGGTTTGACCTCCTTGCTGTCACGGAAATACAAATTAAAACCTCTTTATAATCTATCTTACCCCAGTTAGAATGGCCATCACCAGGAATATAAAGTGAAACAAATGATGAAGTGGGCTCATGGAAAGTGGAATGCTTATATATCTGTTGGTGGAAGTTCAACTAATATAATATCAGTATGGCATTTCTCAACAAGCTAGAAAGATATCTACCACATGACCAAGGTGTATCAGTACTGGATATACACCCAAAGAACTTTCTATCTCATGACAGAAATACTTATACTAGCACATCCTTGTTCATTACTACTCTATTGGCAATAACTAGGAAGTTGAATCAAACTAAATGCCTATGAAATAAAGAATGACTAAGAAAATGTGCATATCCACAATATAACACTAATAATCCATAAAGTAAACCGAGATTATGAAATTTAAAAATGAATGAAATGAAAAAGTAATGCTGAGTGAGGTCCCCAAGGTTCCCAAGGACAAACCCTACATATTCTTTCTCACATGAGGGTCTTAGCTTCAAATCTTCTATTTTGTGCCACTGGAGCACAAGCAACATCTGGAAAACTGGAAATGAACTATTAGTGGGGCATTGCTTTAGAAAGAGAAATAATAATATGTAAGTTGAGAAAGTAGAAATGGAGAGTTGTGAAGACATAAGGGTTCTTACAAGTAGTGAAGTGAAAGAATAGGGAAATGAAGTGCAAAAAGCAGGCTTACCACAATCAAAGTGAACCTGAAGAAATTACTTGGATACCTGTCACCTTGCAATCCAAGTTAAAAAAAATTAAAAGAGGAGATAGTAGGGCATATGTGATATGAAAAATAAGGGAGAGAGAGAACTGGAAGATGAATATTTACATGAAAATGAGAAAAGAAGTGTTGGGGAAGGGACTAGTAGAACTCTGTTATCCAAAATAATACCCTTAATAGTTTAGTCACTAATTAAAAATGATTTTTAGTTGGAGTTTGCATAAAGTATCCCATTTTAGTAGGCAATCATGTTCATAAAAGACATGGATTATTAAAGAAGAATCTTAGTGCCAGACATGGGTTTCCTCCCTATAAATTATTTTCACAGAAGAATCCATTAAAACACAGGCCATTGGCACTACAGTTGGTTACCTGCCATAAATAGATGATCAGATCATATTACAAAGACACCACACATTTTGATTTCAGGGCACAAAATGATTAGTCTTGAACTGACCAGGAAACTGTCCTTGATAGCTAGCTTTTATAGTGCTGGAAGGTACTAAGTAGACTACTGTGAAAGCAAGAAATCTATGATCTTATCTCCATATGGTCCCTGAATGTTACAAGACCAACCTACTAGGCAAGATGTAAGTTGCCGGAACTCTTTTAAGTAGAATGAGACCTACTCCAAAAGAGGAAATTTATGTCTCTAAAATAATCATGCTCAAAACTAATAGTTAAAGAGGCCATAGGCTCCAGTGAGAGATCCTATCATTATTTTACTAATGTGTCATGTTGTCAAAGTGCCTCAATATAATATCTATAGATTTGTGCTGCTTCCAAACTTTGTTAATCTTCTTATTGTAGTGGTCAGTTTCTAATAGGCAACTCATTACTATTTAAAGGGATTGGACTAAATGACTACTGGTGATCAGTCATAGATGAGGGATCTATATGTACACACTACTAAGACTTAGACACATTTTGGGAGAGGGTATAGAAAGAAATAATGTGTATCTGGAGGAGAAGAATCAGTGACTCTTGCATAATGAACTCCCAGCAACTGTTATTAGCTGTACAAGTCCTAACGGATTAAAAATTTCAGCATGAAAAAAGAAGGAATCCCATAGTTGAGAAGTTATTGACAATCAAAGGTCACATTTCTTTATGATTCTGGTTCCTGGTGCATTTTCAGTGCTTTGCTGGATGATCCCCTACAGCCAAGTGTACATGCACCACACTAATTGGACTCAAAAAGAGTAATGGAGTGGTATATGAAAATGTTTGGAGGAAGGAAAGTGAAAGGAGAAATGATATAATTATATTGTCATTTCTAAATAAAAGAAATAATTAATATTTCAGAATAATTAATAAAATAACAGAAGCAAATAAGAAAAGAAAGGAAGTTGGGTTTGGTTGATAGAAAAGTATTAGGAGAGTAGTTGAGTGACAGGCAAATATGATCAAGATATACTTTATACATGTTAAGATCAAACAAAATTTAAAATTGAAACCTCCTTTAGTGGTATCAGTTAGCATAAACACATTTTCTATGTAAAGGAATGGTGCATTTTTGAAATGGGGAAAGATGACCTAAAATTTGGTGTTTTGCTTATTATTTTTTGTGGGGAAACACTTATGGTTCAGACATGTTCTTGCTGTATGCCATTTTGCTTACATTGAAAGTTTGGCATGAGAGACCAAATGCAGGTCTTTCCCTTTGGTTGTAACAACATTAAAACCTCCTTATGAAAATTCTCTGCTCTCCCACTGATGTGGTCTCTGACCAGTCACTTTTTTATGTTTCTGGTCTGCATATAATGAATTTTGTTGAGAAGGGAAAGAAGTTTAGAACCTCTTTCTAAGAAGCTATCAGCATTTATGCTCTATGAGGAGTTATAATTTGCATTTCATTTTAAAAATTTACACTTTGTTTTTACAATGCATGATGAGGATGAAGTATAATGTAGTCTTTTATGTCTAACTGAGGGTCAAGAAGTTTGGAAGGGGCTGACTCTGCCATTTCAATAATTATATAATTTCTTTAAGTACTGCTCTCTATTGTATTTATTTACAAAACACAATCTTCTCAAGACCAGTTGGTATTCTTTATTGAATGTATTGTAAAAATACAGGGCTTGAGGGAGCTGGAATGCTACCTATTTAGTTGAGTGCTTAGAACTTCTAGTC